CCAAGGAACCAGTTCCCACCACCCCCGAGGAACCCACACCAACCACCACCAAGGAACCAGTTCCCACCACTTCCAAGGAGCCCACACCAACCACCACCAAGGAACCTGCACCGACCACCAAGGAACCTGTACCGACCACCACCAAGGAAACAGTTCCCACCACTCCCAAGGAATCTGCACTGACCACCACCAAGGAACCAGCTACCACCACCCCCAAGAAGCCTGCACCAACCACCACCAAGGAACCAGTTCCTACCACCCCCGAGGAACCCACACCAACCACCACCAAGGAACCAGTGCCCACCACCCCCAAGGAACCTGCACCAACCACCACCAAGGAACCTGCACTGACCACCACCAAGGAACCAGTTCCCACCACCCCCGAGGAACCCACACCAACCACCACCAAGGAACCAGTTCCCACCACCCCCAAGGAACCTGCACTGACCACCACCAAGGAACCAGTTCCCACCACTCCCAAGGAGCCCTCACCAACCACCACCAAGGAACCAGTGCCCACCACCCGCAAGGTACCTGCACCAACCACCACCAAAGAATCTGCACCAACCACCACCAAGAAACCAGTTCCCACCACCCCCGAGGAGCCTGCACCAACCACCACCAAGGAACCAGTTCCCACCACCCCCGAGGAACCCACACCAACCACCACCAAGGAACCAGTTCCCACCACCCCCGAGGAACCCGCACCAACCACCACCAAGGAACCAGTTCCCACCACTCCAAAGGAACCTGCACCAACCACCACCAAGGAACCTGCACCGACCACCACCAAGGAACCAGTTCCCACCACCCCCGAGGAACCCGCACCAACCACCACCAAGGAACCAGTTCCCACCACTCCAAAGGAACCTGCACCAACCACCACCAAGGAACCTGCACCGACCACCACCAAGGAACCAGTTCCCACCACCCCCGAGGAACCCGCACCAACCACCACCAAGGAACCAGTTCCCACCACTCCAAAGGAACCTGCACCAACCACCACCAAGGAACCTGCACCGACCACCACCAAGGAACCAGTTCCCACCACCCCCGAGGAACCCGCACCAACCACCACCAAGGAACCAGTTCCCACCACTCCAAAGGAACCTGCACCAACCACCACCAAGGAACCTGCACCGACCACCACCAAGGAACCAGTTCCCACCACCCCCGAGGAACCCGCACCAACCACCACCAAGGAACCAGTTCCCACCACTCCAAAGGAACCTGCACCAACCACCACCAAGGAACCTGCACCGACCACCACCAAGGAACCAGTTCCCACCACCCCCGAGGAACCCGCACCAACCACCACCAAGGAACCAGTTCCCACCACTCCAAAGGAACCTGCACCAACCACCACCAAGGAACCTGCACCGACCACCACCAAGGAACCAGTTCCCACCACCCCCGAGGAACCCGCACCAACCACCACCAAGGAACCAGTTCCCACCACTCCAAAGGAACCTGCACCAACCACCACCAAGGAACCTGCACCGACCACCACCAAGGAACCAGTTCCCACCACCCCCGAGGAACCCGCACCAACCACCACCAAGGAACCAGTTCCCACCACTCCAAAGGAACCTGCACCAACCACCACCAAGGAACCTGCACCGACCACCACCAAGGAACCAGTTCCCACCACCCCCGAGGAACCCGCACCAACCACCACCAAGGAACCAGTTCCCACCACTCCAAAGGAACCTGCACCAACCACCACCAAGGAACCTGCACCGACCACCACCAAGGAACCAGTTCCCACCACCCCCGAGGAACCCACACCAACCACCACCAAGGAACCAGTTCCCACCACTCCAAAGGAACCTGCACCAACCACCACCAAGGAACCTGCACCGACCACCACCAAGGAACCAGTTCCCACCACCCCCAAGGAGCCTGCACCAACCACCACCAAGGAACCAGTTCCCACCACTCCCAAGGAACCCGTACCGACCACCACCAAGGAACCAGCTCCCACCACTCCCAAGGAATCTGCACCATCCAAAGAGCCATCCTCTATCACATCTAAGGAGGCAGTCCCCACTACCCCTGAGAAGCCTGCCCCAACTACTCACAGGACATCAGCTCCAACCACCACCATGAAGCCTCCCACTACAGCAAAAGCATCTGTTGAAGCAACTCCTGAGTTTTCTTTAGAACCCACACCAAAAGCTCTTAACAAAAGTCCCAAGAAGCCTGCCATAGTGACAACTGAGACTCCTGCAGTGATCAAACCTGAAATGACAACAGCTAAAGACGAGACAATAGAAAAAGAAATACATCCTACATCTGAAATTACAACTGATGCACTCAAGATTACAACAAAAGAGACAACTGAAGAAAAGGCTGAATCCAAAACAAGTACCACCACGCAAGTAACACCTACAACTCAAGATACAACATCATTCAAAATCACTACTTTGAAAGCAACAACTCTTGCAACCAAAGTAACTACTACAACTGAAGAAACTACAAACAAACTTGAAGAAACCGCTGGACCAAAAGACATATCTACTGATTCTAAAGCAACAACTCCAAAACCCCAGAAGCCAACCAAAGCACCCAAAAAGCCTTCTACCAAAAAGCCAACTAAAGCACCCAAAAAGCCTATTTCCACCAAAAAGCCAAGCATACCTAAAGTGAGAAAACCAAAGACTACACCAACCCCCTCAAAGATGACAACAATGTCTGAATTGAACCCTACCTCTTTGGCAAAATTCATGATCCAAACTACCACTAGTCCTAACCAGGGTCCACATTCAGAAATCATTGAAGGAAATCCGAAGAATGAAGATGCAGTTGGCGCTGAAGAAGAAAAGCCTCACATGATTCCCAGGCCCCCTGTGTTAACTCCTATCATTACTCCAGGCATCGATCACTTGGTGAGACCACCCAATCAAGGAATTAACATCAACTCCATGCTTTCAGGTGGTATCAGTTACTTTCATTTTAAAACTTTTGTTAATTTCTACTGATCTTAACGAGACTGCTCTGATTTAGTATTTTACTGAGATGTATTATCTAGAACCTCAACTTTACTAATATGTGAAGTTTTACGACTTCCTTCTAAGTAAGCAGAAGAGTAAGCATAGTAAACTTATTTAATTTTCAGAGAGCTGAGTAATAATGTAGGGTTAGGAATTTAGCTTATTTTTCTTAGGAGTTTATCTTATCTGTCTGTAAGAAGCAGACGTGGTATAGAGAGTGTCAAAAACATTTAGTTGCGACTCTACCCTTAAAAGAAAGTATAAGGCAAAACAAAGTTGTATTTCTTTTTCCAAAGCAACCGACATAGCAGACTAAAAATATCATTTTAAATATACATAAAACACCTACATTAATCAAAACTTGGCCCATTCCGATTTATTATATTTTTTATATAATACTTTTCAGTAGTTTCACCTTTAGGTAAGATGGAGTTATGAAGTATCTCAGCTTTTTCACGTCTAAAATATGCTTCAAACTGTGCCTTCAAGAACTTATGAAAATAAACAGGGAACATTCCTATGAGAGGATGTGAAAAGAATGTATCATTGTTATTTCGTTCTCTATTAATTTTTTGCAAATTTGTTTTAGATGAGACCAATTTATGCAATGGTAAGCCAGTAGATGGACTAACTACTTTGTACAATGGGACATTAGTTGCATTTCGAGGTGAGTTACATACATATTTCAGTTTCTTCCTATTATTTTGTTCTGGTATTTGAGAATCACACTCATGGAAGATAGCTAGCTTGGGTTGAACTTTCTGGAGGGGATCTTGACGAACAAATCTCACATAATGAGAATCTAAAAGTTATTACCAAAATATTCAGCAAACAAAATTATATCACATTGTAATACAACAAAGATCTTGAACTGACACAACTTAGGTTTTACATTCGATTGTGATGTGTTCAAAGGTGTTAACCTCGGAAAATAATGAAAATAGCAGTTACTTCACACTCTGTGGACTTGTTTTCCTCTAAAATATATTTAAATTTGAACAGAAATCATACCCAGTAGAGGCTAAAGCGATCTTAGTAGTTATTAAATTATAATTCTTTCATTCTGAAAGATAAAGGCACTGTAATCCAGAGAAATTATTTTGTTAAGACAGTAAAAAGGCTCTTTCTAGAGTATCTAGAAAACTATTTGGTTATGCTAAATGTCACACTTGGGAACACCTGTTCAGAAATACTCGAATACTCCCTTCTGAATCTGATTGTACTTCTAGTTATATCTTTTTAACATATTCAATCTGTTCTTTATAATAAACATTAAAGTTTTCATTTTGGCTTCTTTGGAGGTGGGTTTCAGTACTCAGCCTGTAGGCTGACATCTCTCTTTAAATTTTAGGTCATTATTTCTGGATGCTAAACCCACTCAGACCACCATCTCCAGCTCGAAGAATTACTGAAGTCTGGGGTATCCCTTCCCCCATTGACACCGTTTTTACTAGATGCAATTGTGAAGGAAAAACTTTCTTCTTTAAGGTAACAAAAATACTTTTACGAGAGAAATCAGAAAATAGAAATTGTAAATTACAATATAATATCGGCCAACTTCCAATTCAGAAGTGTCCCCATATTTTCATGAATATTTGATCATCAAAATGACCTACTTTGAGATTGTTAATGGCTTACGTACTGAAAACATTTAACACTTTCTGCTATACTTTAGCGTAAGAATGATTTCCAAACCTTTTTTTACCAAAGCCGTCATTATTTTCTCTTTTCAATTGTCAGGATTCACAGTACTGGCGTTTCACCAATGATATAAAAGACCCAGGATATCCTAAATTAATTGCAAAAGGATTTGGAGGACTATCGGGAAAAATAGTGGCAGCTCTTTCAGTAGCTAAATACAAGAACAGACCTGAATCTGTGTATTTTTTCAAGAGAGGTACATGTCATATAATTGACAAAATTTTAAGAATTTTCATTCAATATTTTCATTTATTACTCGGTTTTCTGTCAAAAGTTATCTGTTATGGTTGGAATCAAGTATTTCAATGAAAACTGAGGCATTAAGAAGTACTTCAATCTCTAGCTGGGCATGGTGGTGCACACCTGTAATCCCAGCACTTGGGAGGCTGAGGCAGGAGGATCACTGTGAGTTCAAGACCAGCCTGGGCTACATAGTGAGTTCCAGGTCAGTCTCAACTACATAGTGAGACCATGTCTCAAAAAAAAAAGTATTTAAATCTCTTGACATGAATATCACTGTTCATCCTAGTTAAAGCATTGATATAAAGAATCTTATCATGTATACATACTTTCAGTTAAACATGTAACTATACAATTTGTTGATTTACTCAACATGTATTTCAGGGATTAGTGGTTATTTTAATACCTAAAGTAAAGCCATCGATAATATCTCAATTTATTTTTCTGAAAAACAAAAATAGTGATCATTTCCTTTAGGTTGTAAAAGGTGTCTCCATCTTTTCTGGGTGGATTAATACAAAATTTCATATTCTGACTTTCTAATACATAACAGGTGGCAATATTCAGCAGTATACTTATAAACAGGAGCCTATCAAAAAGTGCACTGGAAGACGGCCTGCTATAAATTATTCAGTGTATGGAGAAGCTGCACAGGTTCGCAGACGTCGCTTTGAACGGGCAGTAGGACCTTCTCAAACACACACCATCAGAATTCACTATTCTCCTGTCAGAGTTGCTTATCAAGACAAAGGTAACATTTTAACTGTTAAACATTCCTATACATGAAGTAGATGTAATATGTTCTTATAAAGGATTATTAAATATAAATACTGACCAAATAGTCATAGTAATCTAAATTTATTGATACAAAAACATCAATTTGCCTTAGTGAATAACCAAAGTTCAAATCTTTTTCTTCATGGGTAAGGAAAGCAGTTCACTCAAGTTTATTAATAAACACTATGTATCAATTATCTCTTACCTAAAGCAATGTATAACAAATCCCAAACCCTCAAAACAGTCCTAAAAGACAGGTACTAGTGCCACATCAGAGGGCAAAAACTGAGCCACAGAAATTAATTCACCTAAGTACTGGAGCTACTCAGTGAACAAATTGAGATTACAATGTAGGTCTGTCTAGCTCTTTCCAAGACTGTACACTTCCTGATTCCTTTTCTCCACAAATGTCAACTGCAGGTTTCCTCCATAATGAAGTTAAAGTGAGTACAATGTGGAGAGGATTGCCAAACTTGGTTACCTCAGCTGTAACACTGCCCAACATTAGAAAACCTGATGGCTATGATTACTACACCTTTTCTAACGGTGAGTTACTCAGTAAAATCATAATAGCTTCCCGAATAGATCTCTCTTGTCAAAGTATGGATATAGTTAAAGCAAAAAGCCAAACACACAATGCCAAATAAAGGTGATGTGTTCAACTATAATACTTATTTTAATTGCTGTGAGAGTTTTTTGCTTTAATTTCAATTAAATGGGAGAGGATTACAATTCAATTCTATCTTTCATGACATTACGATGAAACATCTAATTACTTGGGTAAAACTGGTATCGAAAACAATATTTTACCTCTTTGTAAAGCCCTTATGATCAGAAAGACATTAAATTATATTATCCATGATATTTTTCTATTAAAAGACCAAAAATCAAATTTACTCTATTATAATATGAAAGATACCAGAATGTATTTTTTTTAAATGGATAAGATCTAAGTGAATTATTTCCAGAATAGTTTGGTCATTCTAAAATGCTTATTTCAAAAAAGAGTGGAGTCTAACTTTACTTAAAGATGTTGAAAGATGAATCCATCAAGACAATTTTTTTGGTCAGGAATTTTGAATAAAAACATTTCTGCTATGAAAATGATAAACTCCTTGAGTATATTAATCAACTCAAACAGTTTGAGTTCAAGTGTTTTGTTTACTTTTAATTTAAAAAATGATTTCTCTTCCATTTAGATCAATACTATAACATCGATGTGCCTAGCAGAACTGCAAGAGCAATTACTACTCGATCTGGGCAGACCCTCTCTAAAGTCTGGTACAACTGTCCTTAGACCGGTGAACAACAAAGAGTCAACCAATTAAAATGAAGAAAAGCCAATAAATTTTGACACTGAAATACAATTTATTAATAAAGAGTGTTGAAATGAACATATCAATTTAAATACAAAAATGTTTTCAACTCAACAATCATTGCACTAAAACAGATTTGACAATCTTATTCACAGCTATTATAGTTTACAGATCACTTAATTAATATTCCCTCTATTTAGCCCTCCTCTTCCTCCCATTGCATGGCTTACACCTGTAAGAGACCAAAAGAATGAATAATTTACAATATGAAATATCTGAATGGAATGGACATAAAACTATTACCTCTTCCACTCCTACATGCTCAATGGAGATCATTACAATGATTAGACTAATATTTGTATGATGTGAAGACAATCTAATATTAACATTAAAAAATCAGGAAATGCCAGGGATTTAGCTCAGTAGCATTGCGCCTGCCTCACAAGTGCAAGGTCCTGAGGTTTGATCTCCAGTACCAAAAAAAGAAAACCAGGAAATGTTTAGTGTAACGAAGTCACTAAGCTTCATTCTCTTATATAAAAAGCATTTAACAATAAATGACAATGAACATATAGTGCTATAACACTTTAGGTTTTTCAAATCTTTGGATTTAAGAAAGAAATCGAGTATAAGCTCATACTCACTATATTTTAATTAAAAATACAGACTATAGATATGTCTGTAAGAAGCCTCCTGATTAGTAAATGTTCCATATATAAAAATCAGCACTTGGTACATTTGCAAAAATAAACTGGAAGCTTTAAGATTAAAGAACTTGTTTCACTTATTATTGCACACTCTTACTATATAATCAGTATGTCAGGGATTTACCTCTTTGTCTGTTAAACTGACGACTACGGACACCTTGTCTCAGTGCTGTCTGAAGTCTTACACGTCTAAAAGGCTTTGGCTGACTACTGCTAGTATCTAGGAAACAAAGTAAGATACAAGAAAAGTATATTAACAAAACAAAACAAGAAAGCAGTTACAATGGCAGAACTAATATAAAGGCATGAACAAAGGTGTGTTTATCTGCTTTCAATATTAAAGTTTGCTTTTTAACAGAGAAGGACATTTAACATACAAAATGTAAAAAAATTAAAACAAAAATGTATTTTTTAATTTAAAAGTTTGACTTTTTAAATATACTCTCCCAACTTTCACATCTGACTCATGTGCAGATACCTCAAATCCAATCAGCAAATCCTACCAGTTTAAACCTAAATATGTATCCTAAATCTGATTAGTTTTCACTACATCTATCATCCTGTTAACACCATCATTATCTTTCCCGATTTACTGAAATAGCCTCCACACCTTCTCCTTGTTTCTGCCCATTACTCAATTTTAGTCTCTTCTGTACCACAGCCAAACTGATGGCCAGATCATATTACTGCTCTATGTGGAACCCTTCAATAGTTTATCCACAAATCCAAGACAATCACAAAGATCTAGCCTCCCAGCTCTTACCACATTCTACCGCTAGTCTCTGCCCTCATTCTGTTCCAGCAGTGTTACAATGGCCTCTTTGCAATTCTGAAAACACCAGACACTTGGTGCCGCCTTATGCCTCAGCTTTCTGCCCTCCATTCCTCCCTTTCTTCCTTTTGTAGTACTATGATTGAAGCCAGTCTTCACAGAGTACATACTCAGGCCTTTTTAAAAAACAAAACAAAACTATTTTGAGACAGTCTCATGAAGTTGTTAAACTGTCTGAGCTGGGCTTGAACTTTTGATATTCCTGCCTCAGCCTCCCAATATTCTGGGATTATACGTGTGTATCACCATGTCCTCTGGGTTGTTGTGATAATCAAATTAGTTAACACAAGTGGCAATTAAAAGCTATGACAAATGTTTAGAAAAAAATCAATTTATTACAGTTAAAGACATTGCTAAGAATGATAGAAGTATGTTCAAAGCAAAGGATTATATTTTGAGGGAGAATACGGCATTACTTTTTTTACTGCAATAGATTTTTTTTTTTTGGTTTTTTTGAGACAGGGTCTCACTATGTCATTGAAACTGACCTGGAACTCACTATGTAGCCCAGGCTGGTCTCAGACTCACAGCGATCCTCCTGCCTTAGCCTCCCGAGTGCTGGGATTACAGGCATGCACCATCACGCCCGGCCAAGGCAATAGATTTCTAAATTTAAATATTTTAGTGCAATTTCTGTCAAATAAAAACATTACAATGCATCCTCATCTGCCTTTTTACTGGATCTGGCACCATGCAACTTCTGGCTCTTTCCCGAACTCAAACTGACCATGAAAGGTAAACATTTTGAATTGCTTCAAGGTATGAAAGAGGCACAACAGCGCAACTAAAGATATTAATGAAAAGAGGACTTCCAGAAAGTGCCAAGATCGATAGGGCAAGAGTATTCTCAGTAAGGGAGAGTATTTTGAGGGGAATTAAATGACAATGTACTTTTACTGTAATAATTTCTTTAAAATTTCTGGATTCATCATATGTTTTAATTATACCTCCCACAGCCCGAAATACTGAGTATTCAATAAATGCTATTGTTACTGTCTTAAATAATAATTCCACAGAAGGAGCTTTTTTTTTTTTTTTTTGGTACTGGGTATCAAACTCAGGCCCCTGTGCTTGCGAGGCAGGCAGCAGAACCACTGAGTCAAATCCCCAGCCCCAGAAGAAACTTTTACTGTAGGCAACAAATAAAATTATTTTTCAAAGTTAATTTCGAGAACTTAAAAAATCAAACTCTGAAACTTCAAGCATATTTTTGAAGCATCAGAGTCCCCACCCCTAGACCCCCTTTATTAATCTCAGTAAAACTGTCATACATAGGCCAAATAAATAGGAAGATGCTCTGGTTTAAATATACGAGATCCAAGAGTTCTATGAGAGCAGAATATTTGCTGACAACCATTAATCTAGATGAAATAAAAAAAGTGACCCGACCAGGTGTGGTGGCGCATGCCTGTAATCCCAGCACTCGGAGGCTGAGGCAGGATCACTGTGAGTTTGAGACCAGCCTGGGCTACACAGTGAGTTCCAGGTCAGTTTCAACTACATAGTGAGACCCTGTCTGAAAAGACCAAAAAAAAAAAAAGACCTGTTCTTTCAGAACGGATCCCACTGTGTCTGCTTGTGACTGTCAATGCCAGAACAGCCTTATGTTTATGCAAAAATAAACCAATTTTCCTTTAATGATAAAATTTCCCTTTTAAATAATGAATTTGAAAATTCAGAAAACAGATTATTGATTGTTGTTAATAACGGTGTCTTTGCAAGCAAGTTTGACTTATGTAAATTGTATTGTGGTAAGAACTTACCTACAGAAGAGCTGGAAGGAGGATCCTGGCTGGTAGAAGGGAGATCTGACTCATCAGACGCCTGAACAGGCTCTTCTTCCTGCTGGCTATCAATTTCTAGGCCTGCTTCTGAACTAATACTGAAAAGAAAACAAAAAATGGACTACAAAGAATAAAACTGGTTCTGGAATGTATTGTAATTGTTTCTAAATTCTTTTCAATATAAAGTAGTTTAAATATAATTTAAACATTCTCTGAACCAGAGTTCTCCTTTAACTGAAAATTATACACTCTGACATTGGTAATTATGTTTTTGAAAGAGGCAGGGGGAAAGAGCTCAAGTTGTTCTTTCCTTATTCTTTTTCTTTCTCTAGAGATGTCCTATTTTTTATTTCTGTTTTTCTTCTTTTCCTCTTTACCTTTTTTTTCCTTCTGACAAGAATATTTACATCCTTGACATTCATAGCAGTACCTAGCTTTTGGTAAATTCCAAAACAATTTTTTAGGAAAGCAAAGTACCAAAATAATTCACACTAATCACAGTTATTAATACTACACCAGGGCTGGGGATTTAGCTAAGTGATGCCACCCCTGCCTTGCAAGCACAAGGTCCAGAGTTTGATCCCCAGAACAACAATAACAACAAAAATACTATACCAGTAACTCACCATGTTTCTATCCTGGGTAAGATAGGCTAAAGGGCATGTGAAATTCCTGGATCAATGGCTATAATCCTACTTTTCTCCCATTTAGGAAGCAACAGTACAAGAATTTGTTAATATCTGCAGGACTAAACTAGCTATAACAATGTACCTAGAGAGACAATTGTGTGCTAAAGTTAAGAAGTGCTGGTGAAATGTAAAGTGCACGGGAATGAAATAAGGGCTTTGGTTTTAGTCTGAGCCGGTAGCCTAAGTAAGTTACTGTATTTTAACTTACCAAGTCTTTGGTTTTATTATTTGTAGAGTGAGGATTACTTTGCAGGGATATCATTTGGATTAGAAATGACATACATAAAGTGGCCTGAATACAGGGTATGGAAAAAATGGCAGAAGTATTCTTCTCCAAATAAAACAGCACTATGTTAGAGAATAACAACAGACCTGTTCTTTACCTCTCGGACTACAGATGACCTATATGAAATGTTGCTAATAAAGTGCTTGAGCTTTAATCTAGGAAATCTGGGTTCTATTTGTAGCTATGCTTTAGTAGTTCAAACTTTCCATTTTATAAAAAAACAGGTTCCAATATGAAAGTTAACTTTTTCAAGACTACCATTCAATTCCTCTTTCCATTAAATTATTCCACTTCCTTTGGATTAAGATATATTTGTTACGAGATGCTGCTCTGGTTGTTAAATTTTCTTTATAACTAATATGTTAAAAAATCACTACAAAATCTCTTATTTTTATGAAGTCAGTATTTCAGAAATGAAATCTAAATGCCCATAAATAAAGAGTGATAATTATTTGAGAGCCCACTACTAAATGGAAAATGAGTCATTTACTAATATTCCTAATTTTCACACAAAGACCTCTTTCTCTGGAAGAAGTGCAAGCAGCTATGTTAATGGAAGGGCACCAGTAGTTTTAAAGAAATATTTTATTCTCAGTATTTTTGCAATTTCCAGGGAAATAACAGTTTTTGAGATCATTTTCTATAAGTCTCCAAGTTCTAAAATATATTACTACATGCAAAGTAGCCTTTCAAAATGCATGACTTGGTTTACTATTTTAACAGGATGTTTTTTAAAATAGCTAAACATATTGATTCCTGGCTAAAGGAAAACA